AACTTTCATTTAATGTGATTCTGGCGACCCACCCCATCCACCGCCTCGTTTCTCTGATTTCCAGGGTAATCTGACCGACTGACCCAGTGGCAGAGCATTACTGCACTGACAATAATTATAAATAAATAGCCAGTCTTTTGGCTGATGGCCTTGTTTGTTTATGTGGGTCATATAGAGGAATCACTATTAAATTGAGGTGTTTCATAACCAGTTTAAAAACTCCTTGTAGTAGGTTTAAGTATAAAAAAAATCTAAATAATTACCTCAGTTGTGTGGTTTGCTGAGAGGTGCCAGATTGTTCTGTGTTCAGTACTGGCCATCGGTCAACATGTACACTTCTTTAAGCAGATGCTGCTTTTGTCAATTCGACAGTATAACTGTCATAATTATGGAAGGCACTGCTCCCGATAATTATACTTTTTTTTTTACAAAAGGCGATAAAAAAACTATTTATAGTGAACCCTGCCACTGATAAATAAATAACACAATAAATAGACGTACGGTTTCTGTTTCAGTGCCACATGGTTGGAGATCTTCTCCCTTGGTTTTTGAAAGGCCTACAGAGACTCGCCCTCATGTCAGGAGGTGGACGATTCAGATAATCAACCAATTAATTGTTATTATTATTGCGAGTAATTAGGACTTTTCTTAAAAAGATGAATGCAGCACGGTGCCAAGTAACGACAGCTAGTTGTCCAAAATCTACTTCTAGGTGTGTTTTGTGCAACACAACAGCTGTGTTAGTGTTAATTAATCTTCAGTCCTTTTCAGCAACTTCTGAATCTCTGACAATGAGTTGAGCAGCAGATTTCAGCACAGTATGAAATTATAGCTACCAACATAAACCAGCTCAAATTTATTTGAACATGAGGCTCTAGCAGCAGTGGAAATACCAGCAGTTTTGATTTGTAGTCATTATGGTAAACAAATGGAAAGGCATTAGCTTATTGCATCATAGCGGCCTTTCATGTTGTATTCATTTCTGAGCTGGCAAACACAGCATTTCCTGTGATTACGACCTGATACTGTGCTGAAAAAGCATCACTTTCACTACATTCAACTCATTTATAGTAAAACACCAACTTAAGTAGTGCTACCACTTAATATGGCTGTTTGAAGGTAATCGTTACTAGCACCAAAGTATTCAAAATGCAGTATTTAAGTACTGCATGTTACAAATGTGGGGGGGAAAGAGAGAGAATGACCTTCTAAACATCCTTTTTGTTAAGGCTGAAGGTTTAAGTACAATTTATCATGAATGTTTGACTTTATGGAGAATTTTAGAAAGGAGGGAGATGAGGCAGCTCATCATTGAAATGTTAAAAATTATAGAACAGAGGTGATTACTAATGTTGGTATTTTGAAACAGCTCTACTTTTATCACTTCCTTAATCAGCTATGTTCATTTAAGAAAGAAAAAAAATGCATCTGTGATTGTTAATAATCACAGCCTACTGGTTTTCACACTGCCAGCTGCGCTAAGAGGGCCAAACCATGAACAAGGGAGGAGGGAGGAAATTACTTTTTATATCTCATTATCCAAAGACCAGATATCCCCGGCTAGTGAGTTGGCACAGCCCTGAAGGGTCCAGGTCGCCAGGGCAAACTGGTTGCGGAACAGATCAGCATCTGCCTCAGGGTTGGCAGTCCTGAAGGCTTCGAGGTGGTTGGACAGAGCCTTGAGAGTGTGACTGCCGGAGCCCAGCAGGATGTGGCGGAAAGGACTCTCTCTGGGAGACACAAAGGGTGACAGGAAGTTCCTTTCCACCTACAGAAACAAGAAAAGAAACATAAGATTATTGAAAACAATGGAGTAGAAGCGCTGCTGGGTCTGTGATCTCACATTGTACAGGTGTCCTTTGGATACTTCAGGTGTACTGTGCTTATTCCATCTTGTGAAGGGCTCATTGCACGGGTGAAATATGTGTCTGTGTTTGAGTTCAGTGGATCGGAAAGCTCAAGATGTTTCAAAATTCTGAAGCCGCAGCGGGCCAGTGTATCCATTATGTGTATAACGGATACACTGAAAATTAATTCCACAATTGATGCTACGAGTCGAACAGGAGTGCATAACCACAGAATACTGTATGCGTCAATAATATTGTTTTTACACTCTGGCTCTGGATAGGGCCTTTTGCAATTGTCACAGCCACCATAATGCCGTGCACCTGGACCCAGTGGACACCCTGTGTAGAGGTCTTACCGACATGATGCGGTCATTAATGATGCGGCACATCTCGATGTCGTCCAGGTCGCTGTTCTGGACGTCTGCTGACAGGCTGCGAGAGGCACGGCTGTATGAGCCAGAGGCAGAGATCAACCACTGCACTGTCAGTGCCTTGGGCAACAGCTGGGGCTGCATCTGGAAGCACACATGGCATACACAGTGATAATTTAGTGTTCTGAACAAACAACTTAATGGATATGCATCTAGTGGGCACATCTGGGTGACATAATCAAAGCTGCAGAAGAACCAGAGATAAAATCAATTAAAAAGGCATTAAGAAAAAAACAGGACACTCACCCTCTGAACAGCCTTGACTTTCGCGTTGATCTGACCCACGTGAGTACGTATAATATCGTGGTACCTTGTTAGGTCCATCCGCAGGAGGTGATCGTGGACCAGCCTCAGCGCCATGTGACCTGCGAACTGGGACGCTATTACAGCCACCTGAGGAACCGAGTTGGACGTGAACCCGTTCAGTTTCTGCCGGGTGTCCCGCATTGTACCAAAATACGGGTATTCCTGAAAGGGAAAGTCAATAATTGAGAATTACTGGGAGAAAAGATGTGTCCCCGGATGAATCAAGCTTTGATATAATGGCTCAATGTATATTATGGATATAGGATCAAAAAGATTTATTTAACGTATCGCACAGCAGGTTTACTTACTGACTTCCCAGGGGTGAATCTAAATGATACTGAGGGTATTCCAGAAAAGGCAAGGAAAGGATATGCAGCATTATCCAACTTCAGAGGCTCCAATCTGGAAAATAAACACATACAAGATCTTTAGCGCTTTAGTGGCACTTTCTCGGCACTTTCTCTCAATGTAGGTAAATGTTTTTAAAAAGGAAGAGTAGATAGCGAACATTTGCAAAATGTGAGAATGAGAGCTATCCTACACCTTCCAGCTGTGGATGTGACACTGAGGAGAAAAGCTTTGATCTCAGTGATGTGTAAATACTGAGCAGTCTGATCAGACTTACACATTTGTTTCCCAGTCGCCCCCTGCAAATTCAGAAGAGAGAGACGGGGCCTTGTTTGGAGACTTCACCTAAAGAGAAGAGAATTGTATATGTACGTTACACCTTAACATTCGCAAACAAATAGTATTTAAATACTGACAATACAGCAGGTTTGTAGAGAATGTGCTTCAGACTGTGATTCACTGAAAGGAGGATTTACCTCGTTTAGAGAGCTCTTGATCAGGCTGTACAGCAAGGGACTGGCTGCTACTTTAAATCCGTTCCGACCTGGAGAGGAAGGTTTATATTCAGTCATTCTGAAAATCCCATATAGTGTCATGTTGTAGGTATAGGAAGGTGTTTAATATGTAATTGACTAATCTGGAGTTTAGTCAAAACCTGAGGTAAATACCTGCTACAACTCCATCCAGGTTGATGTAGGAGAATGCTTTCATGCTCAGGGAAGAGAGATAACCCTGGATAATCAAATAAACAATAAAACAAAATTAAGGCAGAGTGCTAACAAAAAGCAGTAGTATTACTGCATAAAAGCTGCTGAAAATGCAGTTATGGCAATGCCTTGTGCAATTCTCACCTCCAACCACTCGGTGGCGCCAACACTCCCATATTCTCCAGCACTCCAGCTGGCAAACACAATGCTTCTCCTTGGCTTGAATCCGTCTGTCAATTGGATAATAAATGTGCATTAACAAAACTGGAGGCGTCTCGTTAAATAGAAAATACTATGACCAGTTATGACTTAACGCACGCTCCAACAGGAAGTGTACATCCATTCCAGACATCAGCTGCCACCTGAGACTCACCGTTCTTCATCATGTCAGAGATGGAGCGTGCCAGCTCAACAAGGACGCTGGTGCCGACAGTCGATGAAGCAAAACCTGGACCCCAAGCATCCCTCTGGGCACCGATGACCACATACCGATCTAAAATTTTAAGAAACATTTTAAAAAAGACAATGAGAAGAATTCATCACCCGTTTTTCACTACTTCCTGATTGCAGTTACCCCCGTGTTAAATAAATATCCCCTTGTACCTGCATCCACAAAGCCTTTGATGACCCCGAAGACATTATTTATCTTCTTCTCAGTAAGAACATTGTTGACGTCCACAGTAATAAGATCTTTCTCTTCTCCCAGTCGGTAGATTCCTCCCCACCTTTCTGGCACATTCTGACCCCCCAGCTCCCTGTGGGATGGAGACAATAAACATTAACGTTATGGAATCTACTACAGATCCAATGTACTGACATACAGACAATGTACTGTATTTATTATAATCTCTGTGCTTTATGTCAGTTGGTCCACAGCGTAGGCAAGCCTTACCTCAGAATTTTGGTAGCCATGCCTGCTGTGATGGTCTGAGCCAAAATTGTTGGCAGGCCAGAAGACTGGACAGGGGGAAACTGGGTGTGGTTGAAGGAGGGGAAGCCTGGGGTGTAGGGATCCCCTGAACCCATGTGGACCTGTGAGAGGCAGACAGAGGAAAGTTGGATTTAAAGGTTTGACCAAGTTTGTCGAGCACTTGATTTGACTGACATCTTCCCGGCAGCCTGGATACTTACCTTAAAGCTTCTAAATTTGAAATGAGGAAAATGATGTTAAACTACAGGCAATTTGACTTTGTAATTTGAAATTTTCCCAAAGATAATTAGAAATCAAATATTCCTAAAAACAAACTATCCTATGGGGACATTAAAAGTATTTATTCTTCAATTCATAAAATAGATTCATTAACAACTGGACTGACAGAATTACTCATTTTTCTTACCGTTTGCTAACCCCCCTCAAACTTGAGAAATATACACAGTGGGCCTATATCTCAGCGTTTCACACGTTTCTGTGAAGAAAACTAAATGAAATTGTTATTTTTAAATTATTATTACTTAAGATCTAAACTTTGAAGACATGAACACAAGCTGTATTCACAGAGCTTTCACTCAAACAGCCTAGCTCTTTATTAAAGTGTCGGGTAAGCATGTATGAAAAACTAGTTTTTCACACAGTTGTGGTATTCACTATTTGGGTTCATTGTAGTTCATTGTATAATTATACAATGAATATAATGTGAAATATCCATAAAATGTGTAAATTGGACAGGGTTTGTAAAAAAAAAAAAAAAGATTAGGAACCACTAGTCTAAACTGTCCCACTCACATGTCCATAGAGCTCAGTGTCCTCTTCGAAAGTGTAATCGGCGGGGTCAGGGTAGATCAACACAGCAGAGGCATTCATTTTGGCAGCATTGGCTACCTGTAAGAAAAAATGTCATAGAAAGGGGCTTAAGAAAAAAAAAAAACAGACACTATAGTTTTTATTGACACCAACAAAAGAATTTGTAAAAAAGGTTTTTGTAATAAAAACTATAATTCTTACTAGAAGCACCCACCTTTTCAGCAAAGCTGATCTTACCAGCCCTGACCAGCATCACCCTGCCAGACAGGTTGATGTTTCTGTCCCGCAGTAACATGAAGTCACTTTCCTGCCCATAACCCGCATACAAGACAGCACCCTGGACAAAAAAAAAAAAAGTCTGTACTGCATGTTTTTCCACTTCATAAAAACAAATAGTGTTTTATATAAATTTAGCTTGTAGATTACCGTTACTGTTCCGTTGGCACTGTAGGACAGGAGTCCTTTTGGATACTCCACATTATTCCCATCCTTGAAAACAACTCTGTTGGAGCCGGAAGCAGGGGGGTCTTGAACTTTAACAAAGTACTCATCGGTCCATGTGTTCATGTCGTACTCGTTAAACTTCTTGATCACCTTGTTTCCCAGAGCATCATCACCTGGAGAACCAGCCCGGTGTTCGTCACTGGAAAACTCACTAGGATGGGGGGAAATATAACATGAGGAGGAAGGAAGAGGTAGGCAAGAAAACAGGAAACAATAATTCACTTTAAATTGTAATACAAATAAAAACTTTTCCAAGATTAGTACTTTTGGAAGAATACCAACACTGCCTCACAGCAGGTTCCACAGGCATTGTGTGGACAGTATATTTACCTGAAGACAGATTCAAAGTTGGCTACAGTGAGTTTTTGAGCGAAGAGCTTTTTCACATCGTCCCAGTCCATGAGGGGAGCAGCACCTGTCTCGTGAGGAACAGGTTCTTCCAAAGAAAGCACAGAGTCTGCACAGCTTGGAGCCAAGTCCTTTTTCTGATGCACCAGATAGCCAATCAAGTAGCCTGAAAGTAGCAGTGGTTTGAAATGAGATACAACCATGGACAGAGAAGGACAATCCAAGGACAGACTAAAGGCATCAAGTTACAGCCTAAACCACAGTCAGCATTTTGAAACGCTATACCACCAGGAGACCATGACTGTACTGTACAGTATGTATACCCTACAAAGAAACTTCATCAACTCTCATCCAGCAGATTGCTATTTTCTAGCCTAATTACAAACGCTTGCATTAGTCTTTGTGGTCACACTTGAGCTATGGTTTTCAGATGACAAAAAGCAGATTTGGTGATAATTCCCCACATAAGCCATGAGGCCAAGTTCAGAGCCAAAGATAAGGCCAGGTTTCTCTCTTTTTTCTTGGTTAATGGAACGTCCAAAGAATTCAGTTCCTCTTTAAGAATGTCAGAAACTGTTACTTATGTTTAATTTTTTCTGCTGAGCGGCAAAACATGTTAGGATATCCAATTAGTCATATTTAAAACACAAAAAAATAGCACATACTGGTTTTGTGTCATTAGAAGACACAGGCAAAAGTTGCATGTCATGTGCATGGGTGGGGAAAGACAATGCCTCCTGATAATGTCAATTGTAAATAAACAGTAGTGTCCCTAAGGTTGATCCCTGAGGAACTCCCCAAGTTATGCAAGTAAGTGATGCAAACTTGATAGAAAGTCAGCTGCTCCATTCAACACTCCCCGCCTTACCAATAATAAAGATGAGGAGGGTGGCAGCTGCCAAGAAGCACAGGTTCTTGGGTGTGCGTCCAAGCTTCTGAGCCACATGGGGTTTGCGGTTGGAGCTGTGATTGAGGTGATCTCCAACGCCATTTCCCCCAACTTCCTCATCCATGTCGGACGACAGCTTCATCTCCACCTGGCTGTTATCACCTTCCATGTTCTGGGTCAAGTTGAAACGTGTGTAGGAGTGTGGCTCCCCATTAAACTGTAATGGCAGAACAACACAGGTTTGAGTAGAAAATATGGTTTAACAATGTTTGCTGTTGGAAGTCACTGTTTTTGTACATGACCTGCCAGAATTATGGATGTGAATGTATTAACAATTATCCTTAAATGTTCCAACAGCAGCAATACAGGTTTTGGTACGGCTTTTTAATAAAACCATACTTTATTATAAAAAGGCATTACTAAAGGATTTAGTAACATTGGTAAAGCTATGATCAGAGGTCACACTTGCCACAGACCCATAAACTTTGGCTCAATGTAATTCTGCTTTTTTGTGCTGCTTTCCAATCGTGGTTATAGAACCTGTGTTATAAGTATTTTAATGTAGCCTTTTAATAAAAAGTTACGCTGGAGAAATGTAAAAAAACAACAATTTAACAGGTTAAATGTCGTTCCATACCATTCAACAGGGGACCCCTGTCATTCTATACAGTCCAAGTGTGGACCAACTTTCTGTTTTAGATTGTGAGGTTCCAAACAAAAGTCAACACATCTTGTTTTGTTGGTGCAGGCATCACTGGGGACAGGTGTGGTGGTCCAGGAGATGCCTCCCAATGATCAATGAACAGCAACTCATCCATGCATGATAAAATAACACAAAGTCCTACTTTCAGCAGCGTTTCGAGCTAGGGCCGTGCTATTCTGGCCCTTTTAGTTATCTTCTGTGGCACGTCTCTGAGTCAATAATGCCAGCCATGGGGATTGTAGGACGCAGCTTCAGCTTTGGGGAAACAGGCAGCGTAGGTCATGAACCAAATCACCACAATCACTTGGTCTATCTGCTGTGTCCAGTACAGGACTGCGATCACACCCCACCCTAGGCCCCAGAGAATAATGGCTCTGAGTTTGATCAGCCAACGCCTTCTTCCTCTTTCTTCTTCTTTCTCCTTGTGTGTGACTGGCCATTCTTGGTTCCTAGTTTTGTTCTAGCTTGGAATTGGCTTAAGCTGCCCCACTCCCTAGGTTTCCTTCTTCTTTAGTAACACCGTGTTACTGTCTAGAACTTTCAATACTATGTCAGATACTTCGTACTTAGCTTTGATGATCACATATCCTGACATAGAATTCACTAGCACCAAAAGGTATTTCTCACCTTTCTTCCCTGTCACCACCCATGGTACGGTGCTTTTTATGGTGAAGCCGTACACTATCTGTCCCCTGCGTTGTATCGACCACACACTTCGCAGTCTTTCAGGACTTGAGGAATTCGACTTATTGGAACCCAAAGCCGCTGCTTGTCCAATTCCATCCTGGTGGGCTTGGTGCCTTCATGGTCTAGCGCTTCATGTACGGCCTGCACCACCCACACCACAGATTTTTCTGGGACCACCCTTCTTTGGGTGTCTCTTCCCACGTCTCGTTTCAGACAAAGACGATTCTTCTCTGTTATCGTCTGGATCATCTATCTGTCTGTTCGGCCGGGCGACTGTGGCTCCGCCTGTGCCTCCGCCTGTGCCTCCGCCCTTGCCGCTTCTGTTGTCTTTGACTTTTTGAGTCGTCTGCTCCTCAAAGCCTCCCTTTGTGTTTCGGGTCAGGGATGAGTTGCAGACTAGTTGGGTTACTAAGGGCCGTTCACTGAGCACAACTTGGCTGTCCTCGTTGGTCGCTCTGTCTGAGGCGCTTGGGTGGTGGTTCTCTCTGCTGCACGCTCCTTTCTCAGGCGCTCGGGCGGTTGTTCTCTCCGCTGCACACCTCTCTTGGGCGCTTGGGCAGATGTCTCTGTTTTGGGTCGTCTCACTAACAGCGGTGGATTCCTTCGCCGGGGTTCCTCCTCCGCTGTGGTTCCTTCTCAGGCCCGACGAATTCTTTTCATCGAGCCCCACGTTGGGCGCCACGTGTTAGATTCCGAGTCACCCCCGTACAGGTGGTACTGGACTAGCTCTCCGTTTAAAGGGTCCGAG